ATGTGGAGTTCTCAGTACAGAAAAGATGTGGACCTGTTTGAACACGTCCAGAAGAGGGCTGCAAAAATGATCCTAGGGATGGAACACCTCCCCCTCTACGAGGACTGGCTGAGAGCTGGGGCTGTGCAGCCTGGAGAAGAGAAGGCTCCGGGGAGACCTGAGGACGGCCTTTCAGTATCTAAAGGGAGGCTATAAGAAGCAAGGGGACAGACAATTCAGCAGAGTCTATTGTGACAGGACAAGGGGAAATGGATTCAAACTAGAAGAGGGGACATTAAATTGGCTATAAGAAGATTTTTATACAACTGGCGCAAGCTGCCCAGAGAGGTGGTGGATGCTCATCCTTGAAAACATCCACTGTCAGGCTGGACAGGGCTCTGAGGTGTCCCTGTTCATTGCAAGGCAACTGGACTAGATTGCCTTTATAGGTCCTCTCCAACTCAAAAGATCCTATGATGGTATGAAGCTAAATAGCAGGATTTTGGTTACACTGTGAAAGCATATTCAGTTTTAATATTTGCAAATGTGTGCGAATTCAGCTCATCGTATGTATGCCTGTTGGACAGCTGATGGAAGTTTTCATCGAAACTTCTGTAGAATATACGTAATTAACAAGTTAGAAATGACACCAAAACAATTTCATTCTTCCTCAAAACAGCAAAAGTAGTAAAGATTCAGTCATACAAACTAAAAGTCAATCAAATTCCAGGCTTCAGAGTATAATCTTTTGACCTTCAGAATTCTAATCGCATTTCACTTTCCACGTACAGCACATGACATGGTCATTACAAGTTCTCTAATTTACTCTGAGTTATCAGGATCTGGACCCAGTCACAAGCAGACATCGTGATGTGACAAACCTCAGGTAAAGCACAAGCTGACAGTTCTTAACTTTTCAGCACCTCACAAACACTTGTACTGGTAAAGGGTTAGTTATCTGTTAAGTCTGTTTATCAGAAAATATTTATCTCACCAGTGAGAATTTAGTGTAACAAAATTATCATTAGATCTTCTATTCATCGAAATCTGTTATTAATGTTTGTCTGTTTTGTATGAGAATTATATGCTTGTTTTATACGAGGATTTCAGTCTTCAGAAAAACGATATGGTATGTGAGGCTGCTCTTTACCATTAATTTTGAATGAAATTATTCTGATTTCATGGTATGCTGCAGCATTTAGTATTTGCTCTGCGGTAGTAATCGCTATCAGTACTCACATTAACTACGTTTTATGATACCTGTGTCAGGTGGATACAAGCATTTTAAAACCAGAAAAGAAGAAATATACAATGCTTTGGGGAAAAAGATAAGTTTTGCAAATCCCCAAGTCAGTATTTGAGATGAAATTATTGATGAAGTATTGACAAAAAGGCCATAATCCTGATGCTGTTTCCTTAAGTCTTTATAGAAAGAATCCTGCAGTAGGATTCCTGATTTCATGAGAAGGGAAGCACAAAAAATACTCTGTAGAGCTCATGATTGTCAGGAAAGCATCAACAGAGCAGTTCCAGCATCTGATACACATCATCTGAGTCAGTGCCAGCCCTGCTGAGCTGCACGGGTATGAGACACATGACATCATGAGTGACAATTTCTGGGTAAAATATTCCTAATCATTTCCAATTGCACACAGCCAACAAAAAAAGTCTGCCAGCAAGTCAGGCTAGCAGGAGGGAGACAAGAAAAAGAACGTGACAAACCTTGTAAAAAAAGTTTCAATATCTCTTACTACCACAGTGTGGTACATCAGTATGTTTCTTTTTTTCCTCTTAATATTGACAAGGTCAGATATAAATCTGTAACTTGAAAAAGAGCTTCCTGATGGGAAAGACATGAGGAGAGTGGCTCTCCTTGTTCACCACTCCAGCCCTCCCCACACATATGCATCCTGCTGAAATTTCACACACAAAAACACTCAGAGAACAAGACTGAAAGGACACAAAGTGGGCAGGGAGATATAGATGGTTTTAAAAGTAATCAAGGTACAGAAGCCATTCTGAAAAAAAAAAAAGAAAACAAAACAGATGGGCTGTTAAAAAGAAAGAATGGAATGGACTGGCAGCAACGAGCATAGAATATCACTTATTGTTAATGCAAAATGAAAGCTAAAGTGCAACTACTTAAGGCTTCTCTTAGTCATATTGTCAAAGAAGAAAGGCTTTTAAGGCAGAGCAATCATCATGGCTAGCTTGTTCATCTCCTTTAACCAGGATGTACAAGGCATACACCAGCAGCATCAAGGAGACTTTAAATGTCACTGTAAAATATTTACTGGAGAAGTGTTTTAAAAGCACTAAGAGCTTTTAAAAGGGGCTCATTCTTCTAAAGGATGGCAAAAATTAATTCATTCAAGTTGTAATGAACTCTCAAAACCAGAAATATCTTTGCTCCATTAGAAAACATAATATTGAACATACTTCACTCAGAGGGTGGTGATGCACTGGAACAGGCTGCCCAAGGAGGTTGTGGATGCCCCATCTCTGGATGTGGCTCTGGGCAGCCTGGTCTGGTGACCCCGCACACGGCGGGGGGGTTGAAACTGGATGATCTTTACGAACCTTTTCAACCCAGGCCATTCTATGATACCACACATAAACTTGGCCTATTTATGAACCAGATACTTGAAATTCCCCTTTTCTAGCCATATTAAGCCTTGCATATAAACTCTTCCTTCCCATCATAGAAGAATTGATCAGTGACAATTCAGAGGTGTAAGAAAGTGGTTACGTAAGTGGGACCTAAGCCCAATCCAGACAGAGACACTGAGAAGAATCAGAGTGACTTCAAACGCTGGGAAGTATAGCTCCTACAGAGGATTGCTTTGCTTCTGTTGTAACATAAAATATTCATGTTAATTCGCTGCACATCATTGCAGTTGTATACTCCCCTGCTTTCAAACATCCAAAGGAAAACTGCCTATTCTCTTGAAACAGTCAGCTTTCTTCTACGGATTCATATCTTCACTGTTCACCAAATCAAATCTATGACTGACAGTTTTTACCTTTCAGAAATGCCACTCTCTCTGTTTCAGAAAGATATTAGCATATGTACTTTTGATGCGCTACAAAACTGGCTTTTTAGAACTGATGTAAGTGTGCTAACGATCTAGTAAAAATACATAAAAAGGCTATAAAGGCTGATGAAGAGTTTCAAGTTGATGGGCTGGATTCAGCATGCAAGAACAACCTGCTCATCCTCCAATAGCAGTCTCTGCTTCCACCTTCCCAGGAGTCCCCAGATACGTGAGGGAGAGGCTGAGAGCTGGATGAAGCAATCTCACAAGCTGATTACTACTGTTTGGTCCCAAAGGTCCTACAACTCCCCTGCCCCAGCCCATCATACAAGGGTGCATTCTTCTGAAAGCTTTTCAGCTGGGAACTGATTTAATCCAAAGCTGAAGACTATGTGAGACAGCAGCTCTTTAAACATAAGTTTTGACTCAAGTGCTGATAACAGTAATTATCCCACAATTATTTCTGTAAATACAGTCTCTTAATACCCTTTTTGCACCAGACATCAGGCTTGCTGACAGCTCACTGCTGCACTGTCCTCAGCAAAGATGTTACCCATTACATCCCTTCCTTGGTACATTTGAAATGACACCACGCTGCTAAATTAGTTCATTCTGGTTTTGCTGCAGTGTTCTTTGTTACAAGAAATGACTGGCTCGGAAGTATCTATTCTTGATTCATCTTCACATCCCCTTTACCTCTCTGCACAGGGTGAGACAATTACAAATGTACTTACTGATTGATGTTACTGTAAAAATACATTACTGGGGAAAAACAGCTTCTGAATAGGACTCTCTAACTGCATAAGTCCCTTATGAAATACAGTGATGGTTCTGAGTTGAGTGGAGTTTTTTGTTTGTTTTTAAACACAGGTATTCTGAGTTTGCTCATTAATTCTGATGCACTTACTATAATCTTTTTTTCCTCTTCCATTGGAATGGAGGGCAAAAAAAAAAAAAAAAAAGAGGAAGAAAAGCTGACTAAAGAAGTACCTTTAACAATACATACTGCTTACTTACTTGTACTTTCATTCTAGCCTTGGTATGGTCAGACAGTTCCAGTAAAACCAGTGAGTCTGCACAGGTACAGTCCACATCCTGTAAGCTACCAAAATATTACAAAGCCCAAAGGAAACTCACTCGGTGTTAACTGTGAGCATCAAAACCCAAGAATGCTCACAGTGTGGATTGTACTGGCTAATGGTAAGAAGTGAGTTTTAAGATTCACTAATGCCCTGCAAAGGAAAAATATAGCAAACTGAAAAATACAGGAATCTGCCTACAGGAATCTGTCTACAGGATCTGCCAGAAAAAGAAATTTGAAAAGGGGAAGCCATGCCTTCAGATGTTGGTTACAAAGATTAAAAAGAAATGCAGAGTTCAACACTGATGGAGCAGCATATCTTTTTCCGGCAGTTAAGACCACATCATGTAATACAACCAGTAATAAAGATCTACTTGTTAGAAGAAAATGGGCAGCAAGTAAAATAAAGGGGATTCTTCCCATCTTCCCCCTCCCTTGTCCTAAAAAGTGAAGATGCTCAATCATTTTTGGCATGTGAATCTTATTCCTTTTCAGCTTCCAATTGGCGGGTATTATCCAATTTTAGTATTTGATTAGTTTTGTTGTTTGTTTTTAAAGAATTACCAACTGACTTTGACTTTGCAGCACGTGGAATCATTTATTAATCATAAATTTAAATACAAATTTAATATAATTGCTAACATGATTAATTTTATATTTGACTTTTGTGTTCTCATATTTTCCAAGCTGAAAGTAAGGAGAGCTCTAAGCATAAGTACAATGATAAGCAAACGCTGCATTCACTACACAGGTGTCCAAAGATGAAACAAGTTCAAGAACATTAAGGGCCCAATGGTGAGAAATCTACTGAATTGATTTGGAGGCAGAGAATTCAGCACCAGGCAAAATATCTCATCCCAAACATAACTAAGTTAGGTTGACATACTTCACAAAATAAAGCTTACCTGACCGTTTTTCCCCAGTTCCATTTCAACTATTGCAACTGGAGTATTTATCTGATCAACATGTCTTGACTGTGACTTCAGATCCACTCTCCAGTTCATGTTTTTCAAGACGTTATCCCAGCAGCTTTGATTTACCAGGCTCTCATGGATCCTCACTCGGTGGTTTTTCCAAAATTTGGCAATGACTGCAGCTTGATCCGACGTGATGCCACCTTGCTTTTTTGTTTGGGCAGTGAGAAAAGCTTCCAGCTGATTCAAATCCATATCAGCTGAAGCGATTGACTGTAGGGAAAACAGGATAAGAGAAAGGGAAAAGCTTGCTTACAAGTACTCTTTAAAATTCTAAGCTGAAGGTTGTGTCTTTAGGGCTTTACAAATGTATTTTTGAAGGATAGCAGAGGCAAGTCTCAGTCACGGAAATAACAACTTCCATTAAACTCATTTTGCAAGCACCTACGCTACTTAACCCAGACTCCTGCCTCAGGACAGCTAGATCTCTTACAGTGAGGAGAAAACCGGGAATTCCTTTGGATATGAAGCACACGGTGGGAAGAACATTTTCACTGCAAGCTCAGCCATATTCTTCAGTGTGCCCTAGTGATACCAACTGGTCTGTACTGGGTGGCTGGGGCAGACATCTGGGGTGATACTGCTGTCCTGATGGCCTGTTAAACAGGAAGGTACGGGCATGCCTTCAGCCAAGGTTGGGACAAACTGGGAGAAACCCCAGCTCATCACGATATTCACAATTTTTCCCCCAATGTTTCTAAGGCTGATAATTCTATATAGCCTTAAGTTAGCATTGCTTAACTGGCAGTGGTTGCTAAATACAGCTTTGAAGAGAAGAGAAGACAGGACGTGAAGGGAGGAAACTGTGGTTAAGTTTTCTCACTGTCATTTCAAGCAGACACTTGTTTCATACTCACACAAAATGGATGTGACTCATCTTTAACAAACATGCTGCCTCCAAGCACGCATGGATACAGAGCACAACAAGGAGATAAAAGGCTAAAAATCTTGGGACTTGTATCAATTTATTTTCCTTGATGCTGTATTCCTGCTGTTGTACTCTCTAGGTTACCAGTAAGGTACAAAGCCCTTGGTCTGAAATGCTCCTGATTTAACACAGGACCACTAAATACCTTACAAGGGATGCCTGCAAGATATCTTGCACTGAATTGCAAGGGACCCACAGGGATCACCAAGTCCAACCCCCACCTCCAAACTGCACCTCCCAAACCCAAAGTCTGAGAGCAGTGTCCCAGTGCTCCAAGTCCTGCCAGCTCATGCTGTGACCATCGCCCTCTGGGGCAGAACCTTTCCCTAAGCTCTGCAGCACAGCTCCATGCTGTTCCCTCCACACAGCAGAGCTCAGCGCTGCCCTCCGCTCCCTGTGAGGAGCTGCAGCCACCATCAGGGCTTCCCTCAGCTCCTCTGCTCTGCACTGAGCAAACCCAGGGGGCCTCAGGCACTCTGCATAGACCTTTCCTCATCTCTGTAGCACTTTGCAGAATCCAGCACTTGCTATCATTGAACTTCATACAGTTGACCGATTGCCCAGCCCTCTAGTTGGTCTAGATCTCTCTGCAGGGCTTCCCTCCCCTTAAGGGAATCAACAACTCTTCTCAATTTATTATCATCAACACAGTTGCTCAAAACCCCTTCTAGTCCTACATCCAAGTCATTCATAAAAACACTGAAGTGCCCGTACAGAACCCCAGCAGTGAGCAGCCACCAGCCTGGTGTAACCCCATTTAATGTAACCCATCAGCCAGCTGCTCACCCATCACACAATGGTTTTGCCAAGCTGTATGCCAGGCATTTCGTCCAGAAGAACACTGCGAGAAACAGCACAAAAGCTTTGCTGAAATCCAAAGAGATTACATCAACTGGCTTCCCCAGTCAGTGAGATGGGTAACCTTGCCATAAAAGGAGATTAAGTTGGTTAAAATGTTAACCCATGCTGGCTGCGACCAGTGACTGCACTGTCTTTCAGGTGTTTTTCAGCAACTCCCAGAATAATCTTCAGCACCTTCCAAGCAAAACAAAATATACCAGAACCTTTTAAAGCTGCTGTTCAAAACGAGGCCTAGCACGGAGGCAAGACCTGCATAGTGATGAGCAAAGTGCCAATCTCACTCCCAAAGCCTCCCAGTAGCAAGGAGGTGACTGCAGCAGCCAGCCAACAGAGCACAAAGCACACAATCCTCTCTCCCAGTCTGAAACACAACAGCAGATTAAAAACAAGAAGAAGCCCCAGACAAAGAGCTCGCACATCACGCAAGTGGCACAGAACAGCAGCAGGAGGTTTGCTGCTTGGAAGCAACTGAAGCCAACAATAACACAGATACACCACATCCTTTTTACTGTGAGTTTATTCAAGAGAAAAGCAAATCAAAAGCAAATCCTCCTCCAAAACACAACACACACCTTGTGATCTGCAACAGAGTTCAGCCTTTTATCACTCAGCATAAGATCCGCCTCCTGAACCTTGGGTACTGTTTAATTTAAGAGGGAAGCTCTGCCTTCCCAAAGTTGCAAGATGCAGCAGCCATCTGTTACACAATTAAGAAAATAAACAGCTACCTGTACTTGAAACAACTGCTCTGTTCTATCACAATTCCAGCTTAATCAGAGCATCTGGCAATTTATTTTAAAATGTGACGTGTCTAACATACCATTCTGTGTATTTCAATTCACTGTATCTGCATATTGACTGCTTTTATCATGAGGATATTTATCTGGAGGAACATTAAAATCTAATGATCCCGTAAGTGGAAAAAAAGCTTTTTTTTTTTCTTTCCTGTTTTAAAAGAACCATTAGAATCAAATAGCTTTCATGCATATTTTCCTGAAGAGGCCTGCCTATGAAATTTGAAGGCTGCTCCAAAAGTAATGCCTGCTATGATATGACATTGGTGATACGGCAGCAGAGTTTGGGCCCACCAATACTACATTTTGGTGCTGTGTGACTGATGGCCAGTCTCAACAGAGGGCCAGTCTGACACAGCAGCATCTAATAGGAGAGTGCACACGAAGCAAAAGGATGGAACTGAATTCCTCCATGCGCAAACAATGGCACCCAGAGACATTCATCAACATTCGCTGAACATTTACAGAGATGAAACAGTGGATATGAGCACAGTGTGGTGGTAGGTGGTGCTTTTCAGCAGTGCTGACAATGGGTCACCTCCACTGCTGCAGATTTGTACAGGAGTGGCATGCAGGCTCTCATTCATCCCTTGGGAAAATGCATTGCTGATGGTGGTGACTGTGTTGGAAAAACAGTGTTTTGTAGCTGAGAACTTGCTCTATCAAATAGTGTTATCATGCTTTTCGTAGCTGTTTTAGTTTCCATGGAAATAAATAGGAGGCTGTACTTTCAGAGCAACCTACATATTTTGTTATAATATTTTTCTTATTACTGTGTGTGTGCATAGACCTGTTGTGTGTTCTGACACCAGCTTTCCTTTATATAAATATTCCATGCAGGTTACAGGAGCGAGGAGAGGAATGAGGTGAATAAACAATCCTAAAGCCCAGCACCTTCTGTAAGCCAAGTCAAGCCCAAGATCAGCCTGAGATTCAGTCTCCCCTCAGCTGCGCAGAAAATTCAGCTGTGCAAAAAATGCCTTCTGTTTTATTCCCGCACAGAAACCAACACCAGCACGTTCTCTGCACTGAATGAAACAAAGATGTCATGAATTAACAGTGAACCAAATAACCAGGTCATTCTCGTGTGCTTGATTTTACAGCTTTTGAATATTTCACATATATAACTTGTGGAACTTTTCCCCCAAGTTTTACCACCTCTATGACAAGTAAAACACAGCAAGATTTCTAGCAACATTTTGCTAAGCTGGTAGAAAAGTAACAAACCACACAAAGTTCCTCATTTGGTTTGACACATTATATAAATCTGACTTCTAAGCGCAGCTAAAAGAGGAAGCTTACAATCAAGCTTGCAGTTTTAAGCATAAAGATGACAGAAAATATAAGTAGGGCTTGTGCAGGACTGTGAAACTTGCCTGTTTGGAAAAGATCATCCAGAGACTGGGAGTCAAGATTCTCTGTGTCTTACATTTAAAACTTCCATATGTTCATATAGAAAATACATGCTATATATACACACTTGCTACTTGGTTGTAGTAGCCACGTGTCACATTTAGCAGTCATTTAGATTGTTTTCTCACAGACAGGAGCACACACGTACAGAAAACAGAGACTGTTTACTATTACAGATGTAAGAGACACAGCTCCAAAACCATAGCTGTATTGTGATGGAACATATGCCAGATAGCATATGCTTCAAATAACACACCAACACAGTCCACTGTTCAGAACAGAATCTCTCTTGGTTTGCAATCAAGATTACTATCTAAAAGTTCATTTTAAAATAAACGAAAATTATATTAACTGGAAAAGAATACAAACAATCAACGAGTTGTACTTCAGTGTAACTGCACAAAGACATGACTGAAGACATCTTCTTTGATATTCCACAACAAAGCCATCAGCTATAAAGGTTTTCAAGAAACTAAACAGCAGCAACTCATTTTAATATTCTTCTTCATCCTAACTGGGAAACATTTCATAATGAGACAGGAAACCAGATATAAGCTACAAAGAATGACAGAACAATTAAGCTCTTTGCTGATCTTCCATCTCTTGCTCTGCACAAAGACTTACACAGCTCGTTCTTTAAACAAGCACAGTTGTACTCTGTTGCCCAAATGAATGTTGACAGTTAAATATACGTATTTTTTTTTATAACTTGAAGAAATGTTTTAATTTAACTTGGCTAAAAATTACAGTTCAGTTAAATTCTGGATAGTATTACAAATTCTTTCCATTATTTTTAACAATGCTCCCTTATTGCATAGTCAGAATATCAAGTTACAGAAAAATACACCCAATTGATAATTTTAAGGATTTACTTAAAGTTAAAGCGTGAGCCGTTCTTCTGTGTTTATAACTAAGGACAGATAAAACCCATCTGATTACAGGTCTTCCTTTCATGCTTTTCAGCACTTGAGCTTAGAATCATAGAGGTTGGAAAAGACCACCATGATCACCAAGCCCAACCCCAGCCTATCCCCACCATGTCCACTGACATGTCTCAGTGCCACATCTCCACTGTTCTTGAACACCTCCCTGCACGGTGACTCCATCACCTCCCTGGGCAGCTCTGCCTCTGCCTCACAGCTCTTTTGGAGAAGAAACGTTTCCTAACATCCAACCCAAACCTCCCTTAGCACAACTCAATGCCATTCCCTCTTGTC